AATAACGTCACTACAAGTAGCGATGTTACTAACTTAACTATGTTTCTCAGTAGTGTGGTAGTAACGTCATTACTTTCTGAGTCAAATAGCTTTTCAGTAACAAAGTTAATTAACTGACCAAGTAGCACAGTAGCATCCACAAAAGTTACAAGCTATTTTTCCCAGGAAAAGCCCTGAAGTAATGCAGACTTTTTTCCTGCAGAGGTCTGCATAAAACTAAGGATAATAAAATTTAGGATCATTAATGTGACTGAGCCCAGTGCTACACCAAGGCATGTAGATGAATGAAGCAGTTCCACATGACATCAACATGCTAATCCTTCAGTTTATTCTGCTTGCTGCTTCATTATCAGTTTTTCTTGGCAAGACCAGCCCTACTCTGTCTCTGATTAGCTACACTGCACTTCTTGATGCGTCTCTCACGTCTTCCCATAGACTGTATATATCAAGTGGATTTGCAGTGGACACTGGAGAAATAGATGCAACAAGGGCCGAGTAAAGAGCTGAGAGACCAGAGAACAGTATGAAGAAGGAAGAGAGGGGAGTTATGTTATCTGGAAGAAGCCAAGACAGAGAAATGCTTTCACTAGGAAGAAGAAAGAGGAACAGAGAGAGCAGTAGGCCAACTGATGAAGTCTTGTTATTGGAGGTTGCAAGTACCAAGCTACATTTACCTTTGTCTTGTAGCTTAGCTTGCTACATTTCTCTGCAGATAGCGTCACTGTAGTGAAACTTCATTTTGATGTCAACTAACTAGTAGCTTAGCTCCCTATGCAACACTGCGTAGGCTGCATTGAGCTCTAGAAGTGAGTGGAACAGAGGCTAGCTGGGATGTGACGTCAGGACTTTGGCTGATGAATGTTTGAGGAAAGTTACTCCGTCCACACAGATCAGATGTTTTCGTCTTTCCTGTAGCTTTAGTGGACATTTAAGTCCATGAAAATGTGCATATAAACAGGTTAAAGGAGACGCAACCTAGTCACCAGAAGAAAATATTAGCATTGTATGTTTCTGCAAACCACGATTACATTATATTTAAAACATATCATATCAATGTTTTCAAAGCGACATTGTATATGAGCTGACTTTGTCATGAGGAGGCGTAGTGGATAGGGTATAAGTGTGTCACAGAGGCGAGACAACTGCCAACCTGCAGACCACTGTTCACGACCAACAAACAACAAAACCGGTTGTGTAGTAGCGACACGCCACTGTTTCTCCAGCAGCTTTTTATGCACCCAGTGTGGGTGTTTTCTAGTGAAACGTTGCTGTTTTTCCAGCAGGGATTGTGCCACCAAAGCCGGGTATTTAAGACAAAAGTGATCTTTTCCTAACCATAACCAAGTGGTTTTTGTGCCTAAGCATAATCACACATTAACCACAGTGGTGCTGAAACATAAAATTTCGATGTATCCGCTACATAATGACACGTCAATGTAATGTATCTGCAGTTTGCACCTTTTCTAGTGACTGGGTTGTGTAGAGCCACGCTGCTAACATGGCAAAACAAAACACATAACAAACAATAACAATGAATTAATGTCACAGAAACTAAAACAAGGAGTGGCATGAATATTTGTAAGTAGCTGAGGGTCAGTTATGGGCCCGATGGTGAAGTGGCCACAGTGAGGCTTTTAGTGCCATCAATACAGTACTTCCAACAGGGGAGAGTGCATAATGTGCTTCCTGCTTGATTACACTGTATATCTGACATTTAGCTCAGGTTCCTTCAGAGACCTACCGGCATCAGCTCACTCCTGGAAAATAGATGTCTGTGGGCAAGCCGCAGAATACTAATAACGCCAGGGTCCCCGTGTAATGTTAAATAATACATCTGAGATTTCTCGGCATAATGTGGGCTGATAAAATGGGATATTTTCTGAATAATACAGAATCATTTAGAAGCACAAAGGGCGTTCTTCTGTGCTCAAACTGCCTTAAGATGGCCTTCTCTGCAGATATGCACCCCTGCTGCCCTGAAATTGAATCGTGCTGAAGCATTTTCTCCTGCTTCCAGTCGCTCTCCATCCCTTGCTTTTCAGCTGACTAAAAATGCGCTTCATCGATTTTCTAAAAAAGCTAAAAGGTAGAATAAAGGTTTTATTTTGTGCGCTCACTGACTTAAAATGAAAAAATGTGGCTGGATCACTATGAAACAGACACTTCTAATCATTATCAGATTCATTTTTTATCCACTGAAACAAAGCCAAACTGAGCCTTTCATGCAGGGCAGAGCACTTAAAAATAGCCTTTGGATTACTGGCATTTAAAATTGATTATGTTCCTACATTTCATTGTACAGGTAGTTTGAAATGGAGCCAAAAAACCAGCAGGGAGTGAGAACAGCTGCTTGCATCGGGGAGCATGTGGCATCACGTTTTTGTGTTTATTCATGCTCTCCGGTTCCAAGTTGTGAATTTTCCTCACAGGCAGACATCCCCCTCTCCTGGCAGAACTCTTCATCTTCTTCAAACAGCATTCTCCTTTTATTTCACACAACGGCCGTGACAATATCAAAGTAACTCAGTCTTTCCACAGTATTTGATCAACATTGCATTTGTCTTTAATAAGGTTTCAAATAGACAGAGAGTTAATGATTATGTTTTGCCAATGTCTCAGGAAAAGCAGGTTCAAAGTCCAACAATCAGAGGCTGTGACTGTACAGAGGTCCCTCCTGTACGGTACACTTTAACAAGTGTTTCATGTGCGCCCTGTACTCTGAGGAGGCCAGGCACCTGCTCCATATCTTTGTAAGAACAAAGTCAAAAGAAGAACAGGACAGGGTCAGCCTGCTCCCTCTTCTCCAGGAACAACCTGACAGAAGCCTGTACAATTATCGTCCTGCCACCCCGCCTCACTCCTCGAGCTCTTACACTGGTCGTCTGCAAAAACATAACTTTTAACGATCTGCAAGGCCTCACCAAAGATAAATCACAATTTAAAACATTAAAAGAATGATTAGGCAGACTGAATAGCCTGCACACGCTTCAAAAATCAAATGTAAAGACAAGTTGGACACTGTTTCCCAAAAGCACCTTAGGTTCAGCTGAAGTAAATTCCATCCTACCAATGTCCGTCATACCTTTGTACATTCTTGAAATGATCATACATTATATTTTTGTACATGGTGCCTGAAGTGAAACTTGATGTTTAAATAACGCAAACTAATCACACATAAAAACAGACATTTCCTTTGTTTATGTGTCAGTTCGTGCCATTGTCATCCTCCTTTTCCTGTTTCATCCGACATATTACGACTCTTGGAGCTAAAATGCCACTTCGGTTGTTGGGGTTTAGTTTCTGTTGTCTTTAATTACAGTGCATATGTTGTTTGCCACAAGCTTATATGTAGCAACTGAGACAGAATGATAGTCCAAACAACCCTTATCTGATTTGAGGTTGAAGGTGTAGTGAAGAGTAACAAATTCTAGCAGCAGCAAAATTGACTTTCTTAGACTTCCACCCAGCACCGTGGATTAAAACAAAGCAAGGCTGCAAGTTAAGCTTTGTTTTTATACTGAATCACTCTTAGAGTGAAACGACTCTGTTGTGTTGTTCACTACATTCAGGCTTTCACTGATGTACTGCATTTTAAGCATACAGTATACCACCACCTTCTGGCAGAGAAGTACTTCTTGACACTTTAAAAGGTAAAGTGTGTAAGATTTGGGAGAACTGAAGACTGCAACCAGCTTAAAGTTCCCCCAGTTAGAATTCCTTTAGTGTGATTGTTCAGGAGGTTTTCACCGTGAGCCGATTTATCCACAGAGATCTCTTCCTCTCCCCAAAAACAAATAGACCTGGGGATTTAAACCCAAACAAATGCCGTCACAAATCAGTGTTTCTCCTACACTGTTCAGCTCGACAAAGATGGGCCGCTATAGCCTAGCACCTGCTAATGTGTGCTCATATTTTTTCTGTGATTACTTAAGATTCAGGGGCTGTATTCACAAAGCTAGTGACAAGAGTCTGATAAATTCCTGGTAAAGATAAGTTATTCACAGAGTGTCTCAGCCCTTAAAAGAGCTCCAAAGGTGAAAAATGTTAAGAGCAGGGAGGAAGACTTTTAAGAGGCTTCAAAGTTTCTGAGGCAGAGGAGAAAATGTCAGAAAGACAAAGACGTTGGAGAAATATTCCTCAAACGCTGGATGACAGTGAGTAAATGAAATACTACAGATTAGATTGTGCAGGGATAATGTTTGTGGTCGATCTCATTAGAGATCCACTCACATCTCCCACCCAACGCAATAACGCTGTAATGCCAGAAATCAAGAGTGATGACCGCACTAAGATATTTGGAAAACTGAAAAGATACAACAGTGCAGCAGTGATGACTTGGGCCTGTCTCGACCTTCCATGAGCAGAGTGATCACACCAACAATGACATCATCTCTTTTCTAATGGCCGTCCACAGCTTGCAGGCTCACAAAAGGGCAACCAATCACATCTGTTAAATGAAGGCATCATACCTAGCGACAGGGTAAACCACACGTCCTCACTAAGAGGAAAGTTTCTGTCCCTTCCTTACTCAGAGTTGCTCTGAGAAATTTCTTAAATCACTGCTAAGCTAAGACGTTGCACTAGAAATCTTTAGGCTACGTTAAGAGCTCTCTGAGCGTGGTCTCTGAATGTTTGTGAATACATCTACAAACGTTCAGATGGTTTTTAACGGAAGCCGAATTATCCGCAGAGGTCTCTTCGTCTCCAAAACAAACAGACTTGATGATTTAAAGTGTTTTGTGGCAGTGCTAGTCGTGGAGGGGCTTCGAACTATGTTGGCCAATGCAAAAAAGCAAATGGCCCTATCTAAAGTGTATGTCTGGTTTGTCCATTCTGGGCTACTGTAGCAACATGAGGGTGCAACAAGGCACTCTCCGTAGACAAGGACACACTCCCTATGTGGATATAAATGGCTCATTCTAAGGTAATGAAAACACAATTATTCTTATTTTAAGGTCATTATACACTCAAGAAAACATGCTTATTATATTATATTCAATTGCTGCCAATATATCCCCCTAAATCCTACACACTGGACCTTTAAAGTGTTTTCGTAAGAGCTTTACTGTGTGTGTGTGTGTGTGTGTGTGTGTGTGTGTGCACTTCCCCCAAGTGCTGTTGTAAGAATGATCTTAAGATTAATAGTTGTCTGGATACAGGACCAAGATTTGTTTCATCAATACTTGTCAGTGTCTTAGTGAGAGGAAACCTAATTTTCTCTCTCAAAATGAAAGAAGGAATTTCATTTTCTCTACTTTCACAGGTTCCAAATCTGATTTGTACATTTGATGGGAAATGGGACTGCGTCATGAGTCAGCACAGATGCCTACTATTTATCCACGACAGTGAGAAAAAGCAAAAGAAGTGCAACAAAAAGTTCACATATCATCCTTTTCAAGCCTGAGCAGACAGCTTTAAAATAACATACTGTATTGTCGGCGTAATAATGACTGAGTAGACTTCCTGTGTGATATATTGCACATTTCTGCAGTTCCACATTAGCTGTTGTAAAGAGGCACCACTCGGTCTATAGTCGCCCTGCAGATGGGGCATTTCTTTGGCTCTGGCAGGGCGTCATGGCACTGGGCACAGGCACACACATGACCACACTCTAGAAACACACAGGACCGCTCCCGGGTCAGGCACACAGTACAGCTTGTTGGCGACACGGTGCTTTCGTCCACGTTAAGTTCACGCATACGTTTCTTTTGCTGCTCTTTGAACTCCTCCAGCATGCTCCTCTCCTTCCTGCTCTCCCTGTGGTGCATGTAGCGCTTCCACAGGATGAAGAGGAGCGTGGAGCAAGCGGCGATGCCAAAAACAATAGTCAGAATCCTCCACAGTCGGACGCTGTTCCCCTGCTTCCTGAGAAGAGCGTCGTAGTCCAGCCGAGTGAGGAAATAACGGAAGCCCTGTTTGGGAGGTTGGAGCTTGATCAGGTTGTTATCCAGGACCAGCTCGCCGACACCTGTGACGCTGTCGCCCAGCCGCAGCATCTCCTCAGTCTCGTGGATGCCCTTGGGGCGCTCCCCGCTGATGAAGTGGCCGATGACATTGGACAAGGACTGGACCGTGGGGTGGAAGTTCTCGTAGGTGGTCTCCAGGTCCAACTCTGCAGCATCTAGTGGACGTATTACCCGCACTGTGGCAGCGATATCGTCGTCATGTGAGCCGAGGGCAAACGGGACTGTGTTGGTGCGCTGGTGGATGACTTTCTCTGTGTTGTTCCTGTTCACAAATAATCACAGTTACTAAAGTCGAGTTTAAAGCAGCAACTAAGAATTATCGATTAATCTGCAGATTATTTATCAAATACTGGAGTTGCTTGATCTATAATATGTCAGAAAACAACGATCTCAGCTTCCCAGAGTCCGGGATAACATCTCTAACTATCTTGTTTTGTCTGATCAACAGTCTAAAACCTAAAAATATTCAGTTTGTAATGATATAAAATGGAGAAAAACTGGAAATTGTCATATTTGTAGAGCAGTTACAAGCCAACTTTTGGTATTTCTTTTAAATGACTGACAAGAATTTAACAATTCTGCTGATCAACTAATCGATTTATTGCTTCAGTTCTTGCTTTGTTAGATTAGATTATGTCTGTCAAGCCTGATTTAAAACACAAATTTTCATTATTAACAAAAGAAAAAACTAATATATTAAAACAATTACTACGATCTTCTGTCAACTAAAGTCTTTTCAGTGCGGTAACAGATATCTGTGACACAATCTATGACATGTGCCTTCTCTTCCCGAATGATCAGTACAGACCAAATCAATCATATGTCATATGCTAAATAGAGATTGTGGAACATTTCTCTTCATTAATGAAAGGCGGGAGTCGGGATGCGTTGACGGCAACAAGTCAATGCATTATTCACGACATCACACAGACTATAAGCTCTGCATTTAAAATGAGACACTGAAATTGGAGTGACACCGACCTGTTTCAAGCCTGTAGCCTGGTCCAGTTCAAGCTGACATGTCTTTAAATGTATTGTTAATACCTTTAATTATTATTATTATTATTATTATTATTGTAGAAGAACAAAAAACTCCTCTTCCTCTCAGTGGCTGGAGGGGTGTGTCGGTGTCAGCGTTCAGAGTAAGGGCCACACCAGCATTTAATGGATGAAAGTGACATTTGCAGGTGCGTTTACATGCTGTTTAATGTGCTGAAGCTGACCAGCTAATTAACTGTCTCGTCTGCAGGCTGACGTCAGCAGTGAACTTTTCCAGTGTGAATGTTTGTTTGGGTACTCGTTCAACGAACTAAGGGGCAGGACAAGAGCTGTGTTTGTGTTTGTACATCAGATAAGAAGGAGACTTTAGCAGGAAAGCTAATGTAGGTTGTTGTTCAAAGTCTTGTGCTGTGCAGCAGGATGCCGTCTGGCTCAGTGTGACCGTCTGTTCTGTCTATGAAAGAGCCGAGATGTTTCTGCTTTATCCAAGATTTGATTGGTTGTATGAAAATGAACTAACAGCATGCAGACAAATAAATGCAAAGAAGGGGACTTTCAGGAAACCAAAACATTTAAATTTCTCCCATTTGGTTTCTGATTTGTTTTTGTCTCAGAGTAGAACACAGGACATGTAATGCACAACCAGGGGTGATTGACTTATTCCAAGCCAACAAAGTAATTTTGGCCAGTCTGCTTTCCTCTGTCTCTCAGGATTGGAACAATTTACTGCAACACATGAGAAGCTGTCGATGACTATTCCCTCTCCACAACATTCAGAGCCTGATTTATGAGAAATCACACTCGAGAACACTGAAACACTGAGGTGTTCTCATGTTGTTTGTTGTCTTGTTTGTCATTACTTTGCTTTGTTTTTTATGTGTCATAACAGCTGTGTTTTTGTCTCATGCAGAGCAGCTGTCTGTATCCCTGTATTGTCACAGCTTTTACCGTTGATTACATTCTCGCTGCTTTTATTCTTAATGTTTTTGCCTTTAGTTGTTGCCTGCCTGGAGACAAAAATGAGCCTTTCTGGCTGACTGTGGCATATTTTCAGAAATGGTACTAATGTGAACTGTACTATCAAATAAATAAAATCAAGTATTGACAATGATTCAAAAATTCCAGGGCTGGTTGGCCATCTTTGACCTTTCATAGGCTCACTGCAATTGTTCATTTACAAAGCCATACTGGGTAAACTCCCTTTGTACATGTGTACTGTGATTGAACAGAGATCTGACTGTAGCTACAGTCTGAAATCTAAAGACTTGTTAAGTTTTGTTGTCTGTTGCTGGTGCTCGGACTGAGCTGGGAAAGAAAGCTTTCATGTGCTCTGCTCCTCTCACTTGGAATTACCTTCAAAGAGAGTTGAAACTACGTGAACTGGTCTCTGCCTAACTCTAAAGCTCACATAAGTACAAGGATGAATGAATCGGTTGGGTTTTGTCATTGTGCGCAGGTGTTCTAATATCTCTACATTCATTTTTTGTTTATATTGTGTGGTTGTTTGGCTGTAACTTTTTGTCTCTTGTGAAAGAGATCAACAATCTGAACAGGACTTACCTGGTTAAAAATTGGTCAAATAATAAATAAAAAACTTCACAATCACTTACCACAGATGAGTGGTGCGATTCCACACCATCTTTTCCTCCTTCAAGGTCAGCCTTTCAATCACGCCTTTGCAGTTATCAACAAACTGGCTGCTCAGAGTTTCCTTCACAGACCTCACAACACCTGCAGCGTGTGACAAACAGGACAGTGTAAAAATATTGATATAACTGTGCATGGTGAATTTAAGTCTTTAAGGCTTTCAATTTGGCCCAACTCACCTTCTATGACAGCGTATGGAACACATCTTCCAGGTGTTTCAGATAGGATGTTTTTCAGATCCTGGTCAATGGAGACTTTCTTGGCTTCCTGTGTGTCAAGATTAACACATGAAACATAACAGGCATTAAATTCACAAACTGCTGACATTCACATGACAAAGACAGAGTGTGCAGAAACGTGGCTGACCTTTAATCTGGCAACTGTTGTAGCTCGGTTCTTGTAAATGGAGTAGAAGAGTGCAGTCAGGGCTGAGCTGGTGGCTAAGACCACGATCTGTGCAGTTGAGGGTTTCCCACTGGTGTCCATCCTGTGATCTGCAGCATTCAGTGCTGTGGTAAGACATGAGGAACAGAGGAAAAGATGCCTGTCACTCAAAAGTGTTTGTTGTTATAACACAAAACCAGTGGTGGAAAAAAATAGTACATTCTGGAGCTACTTGTACAGTACGTTACTTGAGTATTGTCATTTTCTGCTGCTTTCCTCCTCTTCTCTAAATTGCAACTAGTATTTCTTTCGTGATCAAGATTTTAAATTAATCGTTTAGTCTGTGAAATGCCAATCACAGCTACCCACACTCGTAACAACTAACCTTAGTATTTCAAGACACAGAGATGATCAGTTTTCAAAGATATAAAACCAAGAAAGGCAGCAAATCCTCACATCTGAGAAGCTGGAAACAGAAAATACTTGGGATTTTTTTTTTTACTGTTTTTGCTTGAAAAATGACAGAAACAATTTGTTGTTTCTCAGTATAGTTGTATTTCAGAGGGAAATAATGTCCATTTTAATCTGCTACATTAATCTGACAGCCATTTACTTTGCAAATTATGATTTTCCATACAATTATCTTAGAAAATGTGATGCATTGTTGAAGTTAAGTAGTTAAAATGGCCTTACTCTTGATTAGCTACTGCATAAATTCCCTCAATTAGTTAATATAAAAGTATACATAGTATTGTGCTCGCAAATTACTTGTGCACATAACCTTTGATGGTTTAAGTACATTTTCCTAATATTTCTTTACTTTTACTCAAGTAAACATTTGAATACTAGACTGTCAACTTACACCAGTGTTTTTACATTACGATATCACCATTTTTTTTTTAACTTCTTTTTATTTTCAAGAAGTTTAGTACAGTCTAGGGATGCGCTGGTCTGATATCTGGATCGAATATCGGCCCCGATACCATCAAAATAGATGGATCGGGTATCGGGAAATGCAACCTATACCTGAGGTGATCCTTTTCCTTTAAATCTATTGCGACGCAAATGAAGTCATACGTCATGGAGCGAAGGAGAGAATCTGCTGTGTGGAGGTATTTCACACTATTTCAACTGCTGTTGCACAATTGTTTATTTTTGTTAAAAACAAATAGTTCATCATTGCATTAATCTGTTTCATCTTGTTTCATTTTATCTTAGGAAAGAACTGTGTAGTCATCAATGCCTGATGCCTCTAGTCTTTCCTGTTCTACATGTAAAGGTAGCTTTTTAGGTCAACCATGGTATCGGATCAGTATCGGGTATCGGCTGATACTCAGAGCCCCAGCATCGAGATCGGTATCAAATCAGAAAAAGCTGGATCGGTGCATCTCTAATACAGTCTGCAGTTATTACATTTACAGATACAGCCCATGACTAAAAGGCTTGCATGAGAGTCCATGGAGTTCTTGGGCATCTTCTCAATGTCCATTTTTGGTTCCCACCATTCTCAGGTGTAAGGGAAATACACAATAGGTAAAAAGGAACACACAGGAAAAAAAGAAAAGATCGTAACAATCAAAAAGCGGCCTGTAAATTAATTTTAATAGTACATAAACGAGAGGAGAAACAGCTCAGAAGATAGCGTCATTTAAAAAGGTATGACACAACAGGTGCCCAATTAGTTAGAAATATAACTAATTCTCCAACATTTTCCAAACAGAAGACATACTTAATTTTCTCCTGGGAGTTGTGGCCTTAGCCAAGAGACTGTTACCATCTTCTTAGTAATTTAAAGGAGGGTGTCTCAATAATGATGTCTGATTGTTATATTAAACATCACTTGGTAGTGTAAGATTTTCAATTAGGGGGTCATAATAAATCTTTAATGACAACACAGACTGACTGTAGACACTGTTAATAAGCCAGAGGAGGACTGAGCTGGATCATTCAACTGTATTTAGGTAAAGGACTAACTTGATAATAGTCCAAAAGACTAAAGATTGAAGACACTAACACGGTGTTAAAATATGCATTATGTTGCTGACTGTAGCTTCTGCAATATCAGCCATGATTCACTTCATTTGTACATGAATAAGCTTTAATAACTGGAGTCCAGTAGGAGACATCATCATCATTACAGGGTTCACATTCGCCACTAGCTAAAGTTAACATAACTTCATGTTAATGCTAATTAAATCACGACCTTAGTGATGATACTGCCCTTTGTGCTCTTTCTGTTTTGCTGTTCTCATGACTACTGTCTGTATCTCAAACTGCCCTTAGTGACATTAAACTTTACCTTACCTTAGTTAAATTATCATTTTGTCTGAAGCCTCTAAAACCTTTAAACGTATCGCAGTTACGGACCAAACTAGCTAACAGTCACAGCAGTGCAGCACTTCCTTAATTGAGATGTTGACCAGCTAGCTTGATTAGCAGTTAGCTAGCTAGCGACACTGGAGCTAAATTAACACGATTTAACCGCCCGTTTAAAACAAACTGTAGCTGTCGTGTTACAGAGCATTTTAATCTGTGTTAGCTTAAATAAACCGCTGTCTGAAGGGGTTTGTCTGACCTGTATTTACACTCGTCCAACTGTCAACAGAGGCGCAACAACAGCTGCCTGTCTCCACACTTCAAAATAAAAGCTCATCGGGTGTAATACTACTTCCGGCCAGCAGGTGTCGGTGTAGACTCATCAATGGTGAAGACAGACACAAGAGTGAATAACCTGAATAAAACAGAGGCACCATTAATGTTATTACTAGATATAAGATAAGATAACTCAAGTCAAAGTAGAAATACCACAGTGTAAAAATAATCCATTACAAGTTAAAGTAAAATGTGATTTAAGTTCCAAAATGTAATTTATGTAAAACAGAAATTGAGTTCTCATTTATTCTACCTACTCTACTCAGTGACATCTTTTAAATTATTAAAACGTATCTGTTTTATTGTTTTATCTTGAGTTGTCAGAAGTTATTGTCTTCTTTTGTTTTCTATTAATCTAATTGTTTGATTTGCTGTACCTCCGTGCAAACTACAGGGCAATTAGTTGCCAGCTTTGCTAATCTGCTTCAGTGCTGGCATTCTATCTGTATTTTTTTTTATTGTTCTTGTATTTTCTTAAAATTGCCTCATTTTATTTGCTTGTATTCTGCATTGCTTTAAATCCGGGATCGACCATGTAAAGCACTTTGTTTTGAATGTGTTGTATAAATAAAGTTTATTGTTATTATTATACATTTTAAGAGATTGACCAGACATGATACTGTTTTTAAATTGTAACACAGGCTCACAATCCACTGACAAGCTTTTATATCTTGTTGGTAAGTATGCTAACCACTGCACCACCGTGCAGCCCTGTACTTTTGTGTGTATTTATGTTCATTTGTGTACATCCTGGGCTGCAAGCTAACTTTCAGAACAAATTAAAGCGTCTCAAATTGTGCTTTGGTGTGCTACACTGATTGAGTAAATGTGCCCCTAATGATATTCCACCATTGTCTTACATTGTCTCGTCTTTTCCTGCTATGACAAAGTAAAAAATAAGGCTGTGGATGACTTGTACTTGTGTCCTATAATTCCATAATACACATAAAGTCAAACTGCAGTCTATGCACACCAAAAAAGAAACCAATTTACTCCAAAAAAATCCAGTATACATGCTAAAAACATTTGCTTGTTGAGTGTTGTGTTGAAGCACACTGACGTCTTTCAATACAACTCACAAAGGAAATGTAGGAACGACTCACAGCTGCATCAAATGAAAATAAATTGCTGCTGGTGGTGAGACGAGGTGAATCTCACCTGTATGGACTGTGAGTGGAAATCAGAACTGTGTGAAAAACAAACTTCCCAGAGACGCTGCAAACAACGGTGATTGCACACACACAGCTGAGCACACAATTTATAAAGGTGCATTTACACGCAGGATGTAAACCCAAAATCTCAGTCCCTCTGAAGGTTGATAATTAGAGGTAATCACTTGTAATTAGTATAACCTTTATTCAATCAGGTAGTTTAAGGTCAAAATGTCTTTAGAGAGAAACACCTGAGTAAAGCACAGGAAATAGGAACAGTGATAAGACACAAGCTTTGATCTAAAGCCATATATGTTACTGTTAACTCACTGTAAACCTAATCTCTCAAGACAGATTCTGCAATTTACATTGTAGAATCTGTCGGCAGCCCTGTGTGAAAGACGACTAGAGAGGGGGGAGGGCGGGGCTTTGAGTTTGAACGATGCTGCGCTTTAGCCAATCACAATGGAGGGTGCGTGGCCGAGACGTGCAGGCGTCCCCAGGAAATGCGTACCTACAGAAACAGCAAGCATCCATAGCGACCGCTCCACCCAAACCGCTGTCTCGTCAACGTGAAAAAAAAATAAAAAATTTCCAGCGGATGTCTGAGTTACAACATGATTGAGCTAACTGGAGTAGTTTCATGTCGTATCCGACAACGGGAGGCTTTTAACAGATGACGTCCTGATGTTAGCTTTGCTAACTGTCCCTGTCAGCTGCAGCCACTGATGCTTTCTAGACATCGTGATTTCCCATAACTGAATAAATACCACACATAGCAACACAAAACTGCTTTGCTAGCTCAATCATGTTGTAACTAAGATATCCGCTGGAAAAATTATTTTATTCACGGACCGTTTATTGAGTTATTACCTTATTTTTATACAGTCTATGGTTATTACAGACACCGCTAACGGCTAACGTTAACAGCTAATCTACGATGTTATTATTGTTATTTACAAAACGTGCACACAGAAATAGTAATGTTTGTTCAGTCATTGTGTTTATAGACTTAACAAACATCAGATTAGTCTACACGGTGATATAGTGACGTGAAAAATGTGATATATAGCTAAACTCTGCTGGTATTTGTAAACAACACAGCGATTCCCTGGGGGCACCGCCGGAAGTGAAGGATGTGATCGATCGCCAAGGCCCCTGCACTTCCGTTAGTCGAAAAACTCCGGGCTGTGCCTCCAGAGGTAAAGGAAGAAAAAATTTATTTATTTATTATTTTTTTTTACCGATGGATTTCCAGATGGCTGTAAACCTGACTGTATATGAATTTATCAATCAGCTGATCGGTCAGTCGAGGTGACAGCAATTTCTTTGCATATACACAAAGCATTATCACATATGGGAAAAGTGGGAGATTTAATGATTCACAACAAAATCCTTCCCACACCGCAGCACTACAGAGTCTCAGCAGCTAATCAGTCGTAGCACCAAAGCTCGCACATTTCACAAAACATTACAGTAACATCATCACATCTATTTATGGTTAACTGAACAGTAAAAGGCAGCTGCTGTCTGTCACCCTCAGACGCCGGTGTTCCCCTTTTGAATCTGACTCTTTTGATGCGCTGACAAAAGATCAGAGAGGAATAAAGTAATGAATCTCAAGAGAAACACTGTGCTTTATCTGTGTGAGGTTTAATTGGTGGTGTTATTTCAAGGTCACAGTTTGACTGACGTTGGCACACACATGCTTTATCAGTTCCTGTTTGTACAAAGCTTTTTTGTACGCTGTAACATCTGAGAAGTTGATCTTACTTCAAAGAAATCTAGGAAACCAATAACAATACTTTTGGACTCAAATATGACAAGTGAGTATAAGTTATTCTAACTTGTTTCTTCTTAGTATTGGCAACTGAAGCAAACGGAGTCTTAGTGACATAACTAGATCATGTCAAGGAGGACAGCAGTCAGCAGCTCCAGAGATGACCCCGAGTCAGCAGCACCAGCCAGCACCAACCCCAGCTCCAGAGGCCCAGACAGCCCCAAACTTTCTGTTGCTGCCATTACACTGTCCTTTTGCACCTGTTGGAGTCACGATATCTGCAAGTTCTGCTTTGTTAACATGATTAAGGATATACAAATGTGACCGACTAGTTTGCAAACAGCAGAAGACAGATATGAAGCAAAATATAGTTTGATGAAATGTTTCATTTAGCTTGTAAAGTTGTTGATTCTTGATTGTATATTGGTAATTGTGATCAAACTGTGCCATGGAGCCCTGTTGCCACCTTGAAGAAACACTATGCAGGATTGTCAGGTACTGTTTGTGAACACACAAGTAAAAGCCAACTCCAGATTCTCTCGTTTGGCGTTTTGCCTCGCTGTATTTGCAGCTTTTGGCGCTGTGTCTGTTGGATGCCTGCCCTGACCTCACCTGACGCTGTGGGGGTACACAACCATAAACATCTCAAACACAGGAAGTAAGAAGAAATAAGAAACTACAGGCAGAGGGCAGAGTCCCTGCAGATAAACACACTTTCTATCTATACAAGTCTAGAATAAGAATCATTGTGTTTCTGTTGCCTTACAATGAGCCCTTTAATCTACACAAGGAGCAGGTCCTCATCTACAAAGAACACTATGGGCCTTTCCAAAACTGGACCCTACCCACTCCCACTCAGTCATTGGAGTTTGCTGTCACCTTCACAGCTGAATGAAGCACCCTCCATCAAGGTGTAGGGGATAAACACAGTGGCAAGCTTTGGGACAAACCTCCCTCTCTGCGGCAGAAAGAGAAAATGCCGTAACGTTTTGTAACCACAGAGAAAAGTGAAGCTTAATCACATTTTCTGTTCTTCATAATGCTAATATTTATAAGCTGCTTGGTTTTTGTAGCAGTTGTAAATGTTCAGCACCACAGTCAAATAAACGTGACTGTTTTCGAGAGACTAGAGAGGAATATATTTGATCCTTTGTCCAATGAAACCTTTAAGATGTTAACGGCTGTATGACAACAGGCCTATAAATGCCTGTCTTAGTTTGAGCAGTTCACGTTTGTAAGGGTAGTTGCAGAACTTTATTTGTACAGAGTGTCTTCAATGATGAACACAATACGGCGTTGCACAAGGGCATGGACAGGTCGGGCTCCTCATAACAGACCTAGGCTATGGAACCAACCCCCTTGACGGCGCCACTGGCCATGCACATGTGAGTTGTCGACGGTGACGACGTGTGTGTCGGCTTCGTCGAGTGTACCAAGTGCAACACGATGCTGGTGTATGACAACAAAAAGACGGGGACCTCGACACTTAAGAGGCATATGACGAAGGCTTGCCATGGAAAGAAAGACAAGAGTCAGCCTACAATGTCCACGTTCGTATCCTTAAAAAAATTGTCGGGTTTAAACCGGGCTCGGGCTCAAAATTACAGTTAAAGGGACAGGCCGGGCTCGGACAGAACATGCACGGGCTCGGGTGGGGTCGGGCTGGATTTTTTGGGCCCGATCTAAGCTCTAGTAAGTTGGCATCGGGGCAGGCTCGCCGTTGGAGGGTTTTATAACTCACTCCCACTCCTCATTAGTTGGTTTGGGATGGCACTCAAAGTGGCGGACTATCTGTGTGAACGCAAAACAGAATAAAAGTGGGTAGGGAGAGGATGTCGGGGATAGTTTGGGAAAGGCACTGCCATGTTTCTACAGTAGCTCAAAATGGACAAACCTAATACTGGCTCTGGACAGGGCCATTTGTGTTTTTGAGTTTTTGTGTTGGCCGATAAAGTTAGTAGCCCCTGTGCAACAAGCAGCATTAATCAGTGGGTCCACTTTTTTTCAGGAGAGGAAGCGACCTCTGTGGATAATTCAGCTCCCAGTAAAAACCTCCTGAACAAAGAACA